AAATTCACCTACCTCTTATAGTTTATTGTAACCCAAGTGGGTGCTCATGGTGAACCCCTRGTCACTTGCAAGCAGCAGAGCTGTGCAAGCAGCAGAGCTGCGTCATGTGACACACACACTCCCTGCTGAGGCCCAATAGCCTGCTCTGCCTTCCAGCCCAACTCCTGTACTGTGAGCGCACCTGGGCCAGGGTCTACTCAGGGCCTTGGTTTGGGTTTTGGTCTTTGCCTCTTTGTGCTTTTGTGCATTTTTGTTTAAAATGTCTCCCGGCTCTGCCGCTGCTCAGGCACTGGCTGCTGTTCCTAAGCACAGGAGGCTACGACCCACCTTATGGAGGAAGCATGGCAGATGAGCTCCGCAGAGGAGGCAAGAGCAGATGTGCTGTGAGCCTCGAGTGCAGTACTAACTCAGTGGCACCTGGTAAACGAGGTGCCTTTAAACAGAAACACGCACAAGGCACGGATACAGAATGGCCAGTCATAGGTGCGCGGCTGGAGGCTGGTAGCGCCCACTCCTGTTTCCCCAGGGACAGTGACTTGGCAATTGCTAACGCAGCGTTCATGGTGACTTGTAATAACTAGTACAGATGACGAGAACCAACAACACACATTTCCTCAATTGCAACCACCTAGCAAAATGCAAGCCCCAAATGTATGCTGGACCCACTTTCTCTGCACCTTCGCCCAGGAAGCTGAGTAGCCCCAGGATTACAGAGAGACAGCCCAGGCCAGGTTGAGACAGGTAGCGTGGCTGTAGCAGGTGTTGGAGGGAGTTCACAGGAGGTGGAGGAGGGTGAGTGAGCAGAGAGGAAGGACAGGCAGAGGATGGACGCTGAGGGGACCACAGAGGAGGCCAATTTCAGGCAGTGACAGGAAAACCAGGACACAGCTCTGGGAGGGCCAGAAGTGCTTGAGRACACTGGAGTCCACGTGCTGAGTGACTGAGTGAGCATCTTCAGCCCCTGTGGCCTGTCCTCAGTGCCATGCCTCTCCAGCACTAGGAGGAAGTTCCAGAAAGCAAACCGTGTGGACTGCCTGTGCTCCATCTCTCAGGACAGACTAGTGCTTGGTATACAGTAGGAGCTAAGTATTGGTAAAGAAAACATCTAAGACAAAAGGAATTTTTAAGTGTTTCAAGGCCAGGTACAGTGGCACATGCCCGTACCCAGCAACTCTGCACACTGAGGCAGGAGGAGCACAAGTCTGAGGCCACTTGGGTAACTTAACTACAGTAACTTAGCAAGAGACCCTGTCACAAAAAATAAAAAGGGCTRGGGTATAGCTCAGTGATAGAGCGCCCCTGGGTTCAGTCCCCAGGACTGCAAAAAATTTGTTTCAAGCAGAGAAGGGCTGCACAGTTCTCTAGCTCATCTGTCAAGGACAGGACTGAAGTAAAATGAGAGCTGAGAGGCCAGTTTGGAGACTGTCACTAACAGCTGTGGCTTGGAATAGCTGGAGGGAGGCAGATGAGTCAGGGWGGAATCAACATGCTTTGGTGATGGCCGGGCAGGGGAGGGGAGTGCCGAGGAGGAGGGCAGTGTAGGGAGTAACACTGAAGCTTCCTCCAGAGCAACTGGGGAAATCCAAGCTCCTAGCTGACTGCTGCTTACAGACCACTGACATAATCGGCTACAGGAGATTAAAAGTAGGAAACACAAGCGATGTGTCTCTAGGCTACATAATTATCATAAGTATGTCAGAAGACAACTGGCCTGTCATTGCAATACTCCTAAGAGTCAAGGGTCAAAATGATATGAGACTATTTTAGTACCCTGGAGTACTAAGAAGCAAAACACAACCCTAAGACATCCCTATGGTTGATTAATCAAGGGGGAACTATGCACACTCATAAGTGTACACAGCACACACATACTATGGACTCACACATGCATTCATGTTTATATATTTAGTTTTATTTTTTAGCCCCCAAAGCATGTTTCTTGTTCTGGTGCTGGGAATCAAAGCAGGGCCTAAAACAGGTCAAGCACACGCTTTCCCACTGAGCCACTGCTTCCAGAGAGCACATTTTTACATCAGTGAATAGTGAACCAAGGTCTATGACACCCCTGAGAAGCTCCCTCAGCCAGGTCCTGCAGTAAGAGGACCCAGGGCCTCTGACTGTGATGTGCATCCGTGTGAGGTCACCTTGGTGGTTGTAAGCTATTAAGACTGGGGTGAACTGGTACAGGGCTTTGGTGGATGCACACCAAGTCTTGGCCCCACAAAGACTGAGCTGGTCTTTTCTGCACTGACCTGTTGGGCACTGAATTGCCCCTGCACCTCTGCACCAGCCCCACTCCTCTGCCTTCGCCTGGTCACCCCACAAGCTCATGTAGTCACCACTACTTTGCTCATCAGTCTCATGGCTCCCAACATTCCTCGCTGCCAGTGAAGAGTGGGGAAGGTGGCCAGAGCCAGGCACAGCCTCACCAAGTGTGATTTTGCTCCATGCTTGGGCACTTGATTTTACATTTTTTTTTTTTTTTGCCACATCCACTTGTAACTTATTAAATTACACTGCTATTCCTAGGTGGGGCTGTTATCATATATCTAAGCTTGTTATTATTTTACATTTGTTTTTATGAAATTGCGATTGGCAGCTCTGGAAACTGCAGAATGCCTGTTTGCAGGTCTGAATGTGCCCACACTACAGGGTAAAGAGCCCTCAGAGCATAGGCTCAGCAGGTCACYACCTCTGTGGCGCAGGCCTCTTAGGCCCACTAGCCTCTCGCCCCGCCTCCCACCACCTCACTCCAGGCTTCAAGGGTTCCAGCTCAGCAGCAGTCTCCCCAGAACCAGCGCCCTGCTCCGTTCTTCCAGTTGGACTTGGCATTCCAGTCACTTGCTGACACTCTCCCAGGTTTTCCATGAGGGCTCCCAGGGCTCTGCCAGGCATACTACGATGTCACTTGTGTTTCACTTTCTGCCCCACACCTTTGCCCAACCCTTACCCTTGTATTCCTAGTACCCTGGATAGGATATGTGGCCCATCAGGGTCCCTGGTCAACACTCTGCAGCTGCCAAAAGGCAGGGGCTCAGGCCAGAGTAGGGCCTGAACTTAAGAACTACATGTTCTGCCCTGCCCCATGGCGCCTTCCAGGAACCATCCTCCCTCACAGTACAGGCTTACGAGAAGCCTCAGACCCACCAACGGTTCCCTCCACTGGAGGGTGAGGACACTCAAAAAAGACCATCCACGTAAAAACCAAAAAAGATTAGGATTCTTTTATTAACAGGGGTTTTGGTCATTTGAACCAAAAAAATATATATTTAAGGGGGTCTTTGTTTTGCAAGGCAATCAAACACTTAGTGCACGTATGGTTTCTGACCTCAAACATCTGTTGGGTCTACTACCCTGATGACTGGAAGAGACCTCTTCCTTCCTCCAGTCCTTGTAGATTGTCCCTGATGCTCTTCTCTGAAGTCCCTGCAACATGGGAGGGTATTCCAACACTGACATGTACACACAGCTTTCTTCAACTGTCATCACATAGTGTTAGCGAGGTTGTCTAAATAAATTTACCCGGCGGGTTACACACTATACATCAAACATAGTGTGTACACAAAATACAACCTCCTCCGTTGTCTCACAGAAGAACTGAAGTTCCAAACTATATGCAAAGTCATMTTCCACCTCTACCATCTTCTGGATCTGCCTGGCTTCCTGTAGCGGTCTTAACCATACATCCTTCATCATCGGCAACCAGGTAGTGCAGTGCCTTCCCCAGGATCTTCAATACCAGATCCTGACCCCAAGTCTTCACAAGCTCCAGAAAACAATCAGGTCACAAGACAACAGCAAAAAAACAGGTCATGCCCACCATTTTCAAAACACAGCAAAGTAACAAGAATTAAGTAKGACCACTGAAACAGCTTTTGATTTAAGCCCCATTTCTCCTAGAATATTTCTCCAACAGAAGTTCTTTCCAGAATCAAATATATTTGACCCATATCAATGTTACCATAAAAAAGACTGTTGCAAGGGGGTAGAAGAGATACAAAAA